GCAGTTGCAATTGCTGCAACTGTTTTGGCGTGGAATCCTCGCCCGAGTTCCAATTGTGACAACCTGGACACTTTGTGCGCAACTGTTCGTACCCGAAATAGTTGGGACAAGCTCCCCACTACAGCACCCATGTTTTCTAATCAAGGTAGGGTGGAAGCCTTGTGGGATAAGGTACATGATTATGTGTTCTCCTCCTTGGCAAGTCCAGCAATGACTCATTTGGAAGATCGTGGCTTGACCATCATTCCTATGTGTTGGGACAAGCCCCCCACTACAGCATCCATGTTTTCTAATCAAGGTAGGGTGGAAGCCTTGTTGGATAAGGTGCATGATTATGCGTTCTCCTCCTTGGCAAGTCCAGCAATGACTTCTTTGGAAGATCATGGCTTGACCATCATTCCCATGTGCGAGTGCAAGATCACCCCAAGACTGCCTTTGTGGTGTTTGAAGGACCCTGGCAATGGATTTGATGCCCGATGGGCATCTATAATCCCACAGCCGCGTTTCTGTGAGAGATGATCATGACGTTCCAAAATTTCATGAGAGCAGGTTAATGGAGGTCCAAAATCCCAGACAACTTGTCAGGCCATTTATAATGAAACCCAAGTATCATTTCAACCAAACTTGTCAGCAATTCATAGAGCGGAGACCATACTCACTAATTGATGAGAAACAAACGGGAAAAAGCAATAATTTGCAAACTACCCCCATAAATTGAGATAGATACCCCTCGAAAAAAACGCCTATAAAACAGCAAGGTAAAAACAAAACAAAAAAAAAATATGTGCACTTTCATGAAATTTTGCCAACATTCTAGTTTCAGAAATATTCAGAAACTTCAGAAATCTCAGCAGAGGAAATTCCAATGCTCCAAATGATACCAAATTTGGCGCACAGCAACCTTGAACCAAAACAAAAACAGGAATTTTTTTCCTTTCAACAAACATAAAATTTGACTGAAAAGCATGACTGCAATCACTAAATTTCTCCCCCAAACCATAATTTCAGTTCTTACAGTTTAGTCAGGGGCTGAAAGTGGGTGTTCTCGTTGACCACTTGTGAATTTCATACGAAAAACGCAGTTGGCGCAGAGCGTGGTTAACTACAGTATGATTGTGTATATGGATGATATCTTGGTATATTCAAGTTTGTATGAGGGGCATGTGCAAAACATTGAGTGGACACTGCTGGCCTCGATATATTATGAAAGTCACCATCGAGCAGAGTGAAATTTTGGAGTCACTATCCTAAACGATGAACAAAAACCCAATCTGCACAAGGTTGAGGCAGTTCAAGATGTGCCTGTACCTACATTGACCCAAGTTTATGCATTTCTCGGATTAGTATCAAAGGGTTTTCGACGATCGGTACACGGCTGGCGCCAAGCTTGGTTAACTACTTTATGATTGTGTATATGGATGATATCTTCGTCTATTCAAGTTTGTACGAGGGGCATGTGCAAAATATCGAATGAACATTGCTTGCCTTGCAATATTATGAAGGTCACCATCGAGCAGAGTGAACTTTCCCTGACGGCGATCTCCTTTCCTTGGCATGTCGTGACTATCCGATTCCGAAGCAATGAATTGAAACCCCATCCGCATGAGGTTGAGGCGGTTCAAGATGCGCCTGTACCTTTTTTTTGTTTTTGTTTTTTTTTGTTTTTTTTGTTTTTTTGTTTTTTTTGTTTTTGTTTAAGATGCGCCTGTACCTACATTGATCCAAGCTTACGCGTTTCTCGGATTAGCTTCATATTATCGGAGGTGAGGTGTATCAAGGGGTTTTCAACGATTGTTGTACCGATCATGAACCTGATCGTTGCACCGATCGTTGTACCAATCATGAACCTGGTCGTTGTACCAATAGTCGTACCGATCATGACCCTGGTCGTTGTACCGATCATGAACCTGTTGAAGAAGTCACAACTGTTGATCTGGAGCAGCGATTGTGACAAGGCCTTTTGGACCTTAAAGAAGGCCCTTACTTTGGCCCTTGTCTTGATCAGACAAACCCTGAATAGCCTTAATAATAGTTAATAGTTCATATTAAGTTAATAATAGTTAATATGTCATTATAACGTACTGGTAATCGGAGGCTATTTCTGCCATCTTCGCGCAAGAGCGGACACATGGCTTGGAGATTGACCCATCCAAGACTGTCCCAGAATGCAAGCGGAACTACTCCATGCCTCAACGGGAGTGCTATGCGGCCCCGTGATTTTCGTTCATATTTGTACGGCCGGAAGTTCTTCTTGGTGATGTACCACGAACCTCTTTTAGCACTGAAGAAGTAGATGGACTACATGGAAACGGCTGGTAGATGGGCAACCGTTTTGCGAGGATTGCAGTTGGACATTCAGCACTGGTAGAAGGAATCTACACAAAAGCGCAGATGGTCTTATGCGCCAGCAAAGGCCGAAGAAGGTTTCGGAGAGTGATGAGGTGGCAATGTGTTCTGAGCTTGAGCAGCCACGTGAACCCGAGTACGGCGAGGTGCAAATTTCAAAGAACATAGTTGAGGGAGTGGTAGCAGCCTTCCACGTGTCATGGCGCCTTCTACCTCTACTCCCTAGTCTCCTTCCCCTGTCGTTTCTTTTTGTTCGGGAATCCCTTATTTAGCCAGACGCGAGCTAAAAATAGAAAACCGAAGGAAAGAAAAAAAAAAAAAACACTCCCACATGTGAGCGGAACATATTCGGGTGAACAAATTCCCGAACGGGCGAACATGTTCACGTGTTTGCAAAACCTCCGAACATGTTTGCCGTGTTATGCAGGCTGGTTTTTCTTTCATTTTTTATTTTGCATACAACCGGTGTCATCCTTGTTCTATCGGATCTGAGGGGACTCCCCTCTGCATACAGGCAGGGGGCATCATTCTTTTTTTTTCATTTTTTATTTTGCATACAATCGGTGTCAACCTTGTTCTATCGGATCCGAGGGAACTCCCCTCTGCATACAGGCAGGGGTCACACGACACATTGCTATGGCAGTACACTGCGGTAGATAGATACGCCTCTGCCACAACAGCTCCAATCTGACGAGTCGTCTTTATTTTTATTTTCATTTTTCTACTCGTCTCATGCTTACGCTGAACCCAAGACATCCAACCACCCTCGACGTTTGTGAAGGAAAATGTTTTTAAAAATTAAATTTAAAATTTTTAATACTTATTTTGTTTTCCGTTGGATTTGGCTACGGATTTCGATATAGTCCTCAGCCAAAAGACTTTTCTACTGCAAAGCTGCATAACACATCTTTTTTTCAGTTTTTTTTAAACTTTAAAAGTCCAATATCTTTGGGGTTGGCAGTGGGGGGATGAATCCCGACACTCTGGACCGGACATCAGACCTGGACATCCAGACCCAGACCATCTGCGCTGCCGTCCGGACGTCCAGACCCATCCCCCCAGACCGTCTGCACCGGAGGGATGATCCCGACCCTCTGGACCGGACACCAGACCTGGACATCCAGACCCTGATCCGGACACTCTGGACTGGACACCAGACCTCGACAGCCTCACCTGGTTCCCGGCAAGACAGTCGCCACGGTCAAGAACACCCCACTTGCTAGGTAAGGCTGGAGTGATAGATGGACAGATGGATGGATGGATGGATGGATGGATGGACGGTGGATCGAACTGGACTACAGTCCATACCCATGTGCAAAAAGGCATTCTGAACTTCTGCTGAGTCCTTGAACAGGTCTTCATATCCACTCATTCAAGGACATGTTTCTGCACCTCATGCACAACTACTACAAGCACCCTGGTTGCATCCTGGTTCATTTCCACAGGGACGGGATGCATCAGCACTCAACTGGATCCTTCATTCCAAACCATAGCTTGGAGGAGGGAAGTACCTGAAGCATAGCGACGATAAACACCTCCCCTGGTTTTCATCGTGCTTTCGTCTTTCCACGGGTCGGGTTCGTGAAGGACCTTATATATAAATTTATAGCCACGCATTTGCAAAACACATTTCTGGGGCTGATAATGGCTATAAATGACCCTTGGTTTTACCTTTACATGGGCGTATTACCGCTTGGCTGGCTCGTTCATTCAACGCCATCGATTTTTACGAGGGTCAAGGGGCAGGAACACAAACCCAGGTGGTTTTACACGGAAAAGTTTGGCTGGCTCGTTAACCAAGGTGGTTTTACGCGGACAAGTTTGGCTGGCTCGTTAACCAAGGTGGTTTTACGCGGACAAGTTTGGCTGGCTCGTTCATACGAGGAGGGGCAGGAACACAAACCCAGGTGGTTTTACGCGGACAAATTTGTTGGCGCTTGGCCAGGTCATTCATTCCGCGCCATCAGTCTCACGAGCATCAACTGCCAGAAACACAGAACTCGCGCGGTTTCAACAGGTCAGTCGTTATACAGACATATTTGACAGGACACAGTCGGGCTTAAGGGTTTTCTTATTGTTCTTTCAGCTTTGGAGCCAGCTGGGCTTACGTTTGTTTACAAGGGCGAGGGTACGTTCGGTTCGGGCGGAGACTGTAGCCTTGAGGACTGGAGATTTTCAAACTTTTTCGCCACATAACACTCGTACACCGAGCCAGGCAGCCGTAGTCAATACTAGACTACTGTCTTTAACCCGAACACAACTCACCCTCATTTTGGCTGTAGCTGACCGGAAAAATGGGGGTTGTATCATTGTATGCATTCATTTTCGGGGTGTGTTATGTTTGCGGGAAGGCAGTGGCCTCTCGAGTACAGGAGACGTTCCTTCCCGACCCCCTCTATGCATTCATTTTCGGGGTGTATTATGTTTGCGGGAAGGCAGTGGCCTCTCGAGTACAGGAGATGTTCCTTCCCGACCCCCTCTATGCATTCATTATCGGGTTGTGTTATGTTTGGGGGAAAGCGGTGGCCTTGAGGACAGGAGAAACGCTCGCTCGTCCAGGACTCCAGGCAAGGTCAGGTTGCCATGCATCCCTTCATGCATCATCAGCACACTTTGCGATAACAAGCTAGTAGCCCAGTAGGCTGCTACCAAAAGCTATGCACTATTGTTTATTATAGAAAACTGGTATCCTTTTACAAGTTATCAAAAACCTAATAATGGCCATCTACACCTCTAAGGGACGAGGTGACAGTCGTGAAGCAACTAGTACAAAAGGCTGCACAGTGGGTGAACGAGTCTCGTGAAATGACTGCTACAAAAGGCTGCACAGTGGGTTCCTTCACCTTCTCTCAGGACCATCACTTGTGAAAAGGTACAGATCAAACAGAACTTGCCGTACATCCGACTCTCTCTCTCTCTCTCTCTCTCTCTCTCTCTCTCTCTCTCTCTCTCTCTCTCTCTCTCTCTCTCTCTCTCTCTCTCTCTCTCTC